GTTCATCATATTTACTATCTGAAATTCATCAATACGGCATGAACATTCAACTAAGACAAAGATCTGATCACTCGATATTTAATCTTTCACATGACAAAATGTAAATTTTCCTCATTTGATAAGTTACCCAGGTCCATTCATTCAATTATATTGTACAATCGATTCATGGTACAATCATATATCCTCCCTCTTTACATACGAGCTAATATACCTATATACTCGCTTAGATATGTACGAAAATTTGAAACGTAAACAAAAATTTTAACAAAAGGAGGGCATAGTTGAAGGCACATTGAGAAAATATGTAGTGATATGGGGTTTGGTTATGCTGATCTATATTCACCTATTCTGAAAGAAAAATGCTACTTTTTTAGGTTGGTGGGGTTTGAAGGGGAGAGGTAGGGATGTAAACGAGTCGACCCGAGCAAAAAACGACATGGAATTTTTTGGCCCAAGCTGAGCTAGTGAGCCAATCCAAAGCTCGCCCGAAAAATTGAGGTTACATGAAGTAGATAGCTGAACTGCGACACTGGTCATTTTGGCCAGCCATGTTGATGGGGCCATTGCCCCCAAATGAGGCCCCGATTTAAGCTTTGGCTCGGATCCACCGAGTCACGAGTCGAGCAGGCTCTAGCTTTTTTCGGATTGAGCCGTGGGCCGCTTGAGCCGACGAGTCGAATTGACATTCCTAAAGGGAGTTAGTAAATTTTTTGTTGGCTCAATCTTTTCATTTAATTTCTTATTTCTTTTTCCACGCCTTGTATATTTATTTCCTAGTTTTCTTTTTACATGTCAAGCGCTCGAATTTAATGGCCTAGATAGTTTGGAGAGAGAGAGAGAGAGAGATGAAGGATGTTGGTTTAGCACTAAATTTGATTAGAGATGCCTCACAAATAAATTTCCTTTTCATTTATGTTGGACTGTGATGTCAAGTTCAGTCCAACAATAGCTAACGATGAAAATGGGATTTTGTGCTGCACCGTCGATCAAACACGTCCACACCGGCCAGAAGAAGCGCGAATCGTCGCCG